GAGATTTGACCGAGTTATGGGGGTGGTAATTTTTGATCCATGTCTATATACGAATCTTGGGGTAAGATTTGGACATGAATTTCGACTAAAAAATCGGTGTCGAGATTTGAATGCCACATTAATCTAGAGGGAAAACTATGAAGAAACAGCCAAACTTCGTGAAAATCGGATGAGATTTGACCGAGTTATGGGGGTGGTAATTTTTGACCCATTTCTATATACGCATCTTGGGGTAAGACTTGGACATGAATTTCGACCAAAAAATCGGTGTCGAGATTTGAATGTCACATTAATCTAGAGGGAAAACTATGAAGAAACAGCCAAACTTCGTGGAAATCGGATGAGATTTGACCGAGTTATGGGGTGGTAATTTTTGACCCATGTCTATATACGAATCTTGGGGTAAGACTTGGACATGAATTTCGACCAAAAAATCGGTGTCGAGATTTGAATGCCAGATTAATCTAGAGGGAAAACCATGAAGAAAAAGCCAAACTTCGTGGAAATCGGATGAGATTTGAGCGAGTTATGGGGGTGGTAATTTTTGATCAATGTCTATATACGAATCTTGGGGTAAGATTTGGACATGAATTTCGATTAAAAAATCGGTGTCGAGATTTGAATGCCACATTAATCTAGAGGGAAAACTATGAAGAAAAAGCCAAACTTCGTGAAAATCGGATGAGATTTGACCGAGCTATGGGGGTGGTAATTTTTGACCCATGTCTATATACGAATCTTGGGGTAAGATTTGGACAAGCATATCGACCAAAAAATCGGTGTCGAGATTTGAATGCCAGATTAATCTAGAGGGAAAACTATGAAGAAAAAGCCAAACTTCGTGAAAATCGGATGAGATTTGACCGAGTTATGGGGGTGGTAATTTTTGATCCATGTCTATATACGAATCTTGGGGTAAGATTTGGTCATGAATTTCGACTAAAAAATCGGTGCTCAGATTTGAATGCCAGATTAATCTAGAGGGCAAACTATGAAGAAAAAACCAAACTTCGTGAAAATCGGATGAGATTTGACCGAGTTATGGGGGTGGTAATTTTTGACCCATGTCTATATACGCATCTTGGGGTAAGACTTGGACATGAATTTCGACCAAAAAATCGGTGTCGAGATTTGAATGTCACATTAATCTAGAGGGAAAACTATGAAGAAACAGCCAAACTTCGTGAAAATCGGATGAGATTTGACCGAGTTATGGGGGTGGTAATTTTTGACCCATGTCTATATACGAATCTTGGGGTAAGACTTGCACATGAATTTCGACCAAAAAATCGGTGTCGAGATTTGAATGTCACATTAATCTAGAGGGAAAACCATGAAGAAAAAGCCAAACTTCGTGGAAATCGGATGAGATTTGACCGAGTTATGGGGGTGGTAATTTTTGATCAATGTCTATATACGAATCTTGGGGTAAGATTTGGACATGAATTTCGATTAAAAAATCGGTGTCGAGATTTGAATGCCACATTAATCTAGAGGGAAAACTATGAAGAAAAAGCCAAACTTCGTGAAAATCGGATGAGATTTGACCGAGCTATGGGGGTGGTAATTTTTGACCCATGTCTATATACGAATCTTGGAAACGGAGTATGTTATCGATTATTGGAAACAAACTCGATCTGCGCGGGAACTAGGAGCATCTACATTTAAAATTTCAAGTCTCTAGCTCTTATAGGTTCTGATATCCTTTGACGGACGGACGGACAGACAGACGGACATGGCTAGATCGACTCGGCTATTGATGCTGATCAAGAATATATATACTTTATGGGGTCGGAGATGCTTCCTTCTGCCTGTTACATACATTTGGATTTTGCACAAATACAATATACCCTTATACCCATTTTTAATGGGTTCAGTGTATAAAAAAGAGTATGTATTTAGATTAGGATTAAAGATCAGAAAATCCGAAATGGAAACATTTGACTACTAACTATATCTATAAATTGGATAGATCCAGCATCCTTATCTTTTCTAATTTGATGTCTTCAGGTGAAGCGTCTACGGCAGCGCGTTGAGCAGCTGAAGCGCGAACTGGCCTGCGCCGAGGATGAGCTGGACTCGGCCGTTAACCAAATGCGGCGGCTGCAGCGCAGCAACGATGAGCTGGTGGGCCAGACGGAGGGTCTGCAGGTGCAGATACAACATTTGCAGAACAGGTAAGCTGTCATGTCTTAATAGGGAAACCCATTGCAACTAACTGCCCAACTAACATATCACGGTGCTGGTTAAATCCCCACAAACTAATCCAACTAAACTAACTAAAAATAAATTAAGACGCGCACCGAGTCCCCAGCTGCGTGCCATGGGCGGCGTTCAGTTGCGCAACAAAATCGCCGTGGAGCTGCCCAGCGAGTGTTTGCCAAACATAAACGATCTGCGCCAGATCTTTGATGACAATCAGGCGGGCCAGCGCAGCTCGCACAATGGCTGCGATTCAGCGGCAGCTGCGGCGGCTCATCATGCCGCAGCTGTGAAGCGCTCCAGTCACACGGAGCGTACTCTGCTGCAGCAGCAGCAGAGCAATGCAGCAGCTGCTGCAGCGGCAACAGCAGCAGCAGCGGCGGCAGCGGCGGCGGGTTTCTACGATGCCAAGACAACACATTTAGAGGAAAACATCTTCGAGGCCAAGTCGCGCAACTTGGAGTTTGAGCGTGCCAAGCAAAAGTTCGATAATCCACACGGACAGCATCATCAGCAACAGCAGCATCTGCGGCAACAGCAGCGCAGCGCAGCGGGACGCTACAACAGCGCCGGCAGCAACTGCGGCAGCGGAGGCAATCGCGCGAATCTCGCCCTGCCGCTGAAGTGCATGACGAACAGTGGCGCCACAGCCAACAAGGATGTGGACATCAATAGACAGCTGTACGAGGCGCACGACAAGGAGCAGACGCATGCGGGCTATGCGCGCAATAGTGTTAATTTAGATGGTCTCAAAGTATCCGACGACGAGGTGAGCTCTAACCTGGCTGATTACTAACTTTGGTTTGGTTTTCATTATCCCCAGTATTTGCTTGCGTAGTTATTGATTCTTAGTTTATTTTAACATTAATTGTGGCACTCTTCTTGCAGACTCCGTAGCTATGGCTCGACAAGTTTACTGCTGGACGATGAAACGGAGGGAAATAGCGATTGAGCTCGAGATATATTGGGGGGAATCATATGATTCGATATGATTCTGCGGCAGTTTGTGGTATTACCTATTTATTATTAATTCTTAAATTTAATTAACTCTTAAGTTTAAAGCTGCGTTTGTGATAGCTTAATTTGTCTTAAAATATTCTGCATACGTTTTTATTCAACTTTATTTTAAAATTAAAGCCAGCTTCTTCATTCCGTCAACACTTCTTAAAATAACTAGATTTATAAATTATTAAGATTATTATTTTATTAATCTCTTTTGAACTAATCGCTGTTGAAATTGTACTCATAATTGTATTTTAATTCCAAATTGAGCAAGCATAAACGCAGATTATATATTAGATATATTTTTATGCAAAAATCTCTTTTTAAGTCTCACAAATTTGAATCTTGGGCTAGGATTCATATTCATTTCATTTGCTGACATTATTTTTGATTCCTTAGTCAATTTAAAGGCCTATATAGATTGTATTCATGATCTTCAAATATGCAAAAAAAGAAGAAAATAATATAATTAAAAATTCGGAAGTGTAAATACCCTTGCGGACATATACAAGAATATATTGCGGTATATTTATATACTTACAAACACTCAATTTACGGCCTGTTGTACTTATTGATATATTATATTGTCCGGCGTTGAGGGGATTTATCTTGTATGTTAGATGCGTAATACATTCAAAAATAATAGACAGATATTCGCTCAAATAATACTTGACTTGAAAACGATATGAACCCAATTTTCATAAATTCTTGACCATAGTTGTCTGTAGTTGTTGGGATTATAAATGAATAACCAGTTCTTCCAAATCAGTTCATCAGATATATACATATACTAAATAATTTAACACAATTAAACAGAAGGCTAACCTCGGTTAATCGAAGTTATATTTTTAAATATTTCGAAATTGGGTACACAAAATATTATTGGGAACAAGTCAATAGACCTTATACTCATTCATGTCTTGAACTTCGCCAACATTTTGCCGCATGCTAGCTTTTAATACATATTCCATTCGCTATATTCCCTACTTATCGAGATCTCCTATATCCATTGCCTTGTGCTTTAACACAAAATGACTTTTATACCAGATATACTTACATATACTTACATATAAATACTGCTATATGCAATACAGGTTATTGAATATATACATATAAATATAGTGCCAGAAAAATCAAACAACTTATATGAGATTGACTCCAATATAAATTTCGATGTGCTTTAACGAATCGCGAGTTTTTGCCGAGTATATTTTGTTTTTCTGCGGGAACTGAATTCAAAATACGTACATTTGTGCCTCTATTCGATAAAATTACAATTTTTGGCCACTTTCTAGTCTTTGTTTCTATTGGTTTCTGCAAAAATTCGCAAATTTAAAGCATATTGAAAAGTTTTTGTAAGAATATTAATTGTTTACGTATTAATTTATAGCAATATTAGTATTTTATGAATACTCTACTAAATATATTATAAAATTACTGAAAAGAATACAATATAATTAACATATTTAAACATAAAAGCTGTCTATCAACTTTGGTATGTTACAAATAAATTTTGCGCTAATCTTAAACTTAAAATCTGCTGAAAACTTTTATTTTAAAGCCAATTGAAACATTGACGAATATATTTTCTATATTCAATATATATTCACGAGACTTAAAAAATGCCAATTTTATACTATTCTTTCTGGAAGCTCTTAGTTCAGTGTGAATAATATAATATATTTTAAAAGTATAAAGTTAGATAATAAAAATAATAAACATTAAAGTTCATCATATCGAAGTAGCCTGTAGAGAGGCTTACATAATATGTCACTTAAGTTTTTTTGAAACACATTCAACAAAATTAATCATTATTTGGAGAAAAAAGAATTATATAAATTTATGTAATCGTAGTAATTTTCGAACATTATGGTACAGCGAAGCACGAAGTTTACCGGCATTTGCATTGCCATTTATTTGGTATATGCGCTATTCGTTTTCTTTATATTACCGATGCTATTGCCCGACCCGGTTACCATGTCGCGCAATTTACTCGCCCAGCAGACCCGCCACTTGGGTAATCTGACGAACATAACCCTGGAGACCGGTGGCCAGCCGAAGCGTTCGATATTGGTCACGTTTCGTGGCTCGGGAGCAATCGGTTTGCTGGAATATTTATCCCGGCAGCCGGGCTGCTATCATCACTTCTCGCCCCTAATCGCTTACAAGCATCGGATCACAGATCTGGCCAAGATTGATCATGCATTGGATGAGCTGACTTCGCTCTTCAACTGTGACTACAATAACTCTTTGGCCATGCTGAACTGCGGCATGAAGACACCTACGTTTCGTACCTTTTATGGGGTGCAGTGGAAGACGTGCTTAACCTATACGACGGAGGTGTGCTCCAAGCCGGAAACCTTGTCGCAAATTTGCAAGCTATTTCCGTTCCTTAACATGTCTGTGTATAACTTGGGCCTCAAGTATTTAATGGCCCTGTTGGCACGCAAAGAGTGAGTATCTAAATATATATTGCTCAAAATTATAAACATATGTGTATTTGGTAGTCTAAATGTCCGTATACTTCTACTGGTCCGGGATCCGCGTGGCACAATGGCCTCCCGCTTGAATCGGCTTTGGTGCAGCAATCCGGAGTGCTTCCGGCCGGATGATCTGTGCTCAAATATGGCCGTTGATTATGACATCGCTGAGAACTTATTGAAAGAACATCCGCAACGTTTTGGGTTCGTTTCGTTGATCTACTATAATTTAGATTTAAATGAAATTTAGCCTACATTTTATTTAATTCAGAATCGTGCGCTATGAGGAATTAGCGCTCAATTCAACGATTGGGTTGAAATCGATCTTTGATTTCTATGGCCTGCCAACCGAATCTGAAAATGATGTACAGAAATCGAAAAAGGATGGTACTGAAGCGAATGAAACTACTAATATGTATTTCGAGAAGCCTATGCAATGGCAAAATATATTGTCGATCAAGGAAATCACGAAAATCCAAGAGACTTGCAAAAGGGCCATGAAACTATGGGGCTATTATCCCATTTCAGATATTGAAAAAGAACAGAAGACTTCCTTTAAGCCGTTGAAAAACTTGCCATTGTTTTTGAAGTGAATATGCAGTTCTTATAACAAAAATTTCAAGTATTGTGTATAATTTTGTAAATTTGTAAATTCATCGATAACAAATGTAATGCCGCCAGCGATAACGGCCAAACAGCTTGCCTCTGTCATAGCTAGTAGATTTTTTTTTGGTATTTTTTTGCGCCATTTTTTGTGTATTTTGAGGCTACATGCTGTGCGGCCGCACTTTGGCCCCACAGCTGTTCATTCTGTTTTCGCTGCTCTCGGAAAGCTCGCCAGGCGTCGCAACAACAGTTCCAATTGGCAATCGGTCGCATAAGCAAAAGGAAAGATTAAAAATAAAACGAATTAAAAGTAATTTTGAATTTTACAATAAATTGCAATGTTTGGCACGTTTTAAAATGTGAAATACTGCTGCTGCTGCCGCGTAAGTCGAACGTTGTGCGAGTGTGTGTGTGCGTGCGTGTTTTGTTTATGTGTGTGAATATGTAAACAAAAGTGCTTGGGCTAAAGTTTAAGCAAATCAGTTTCCCATATTAGTTAAGTGTTGAAAGTGTGTGTCCACAATTAAGTTAAGCTAACTGCAATACCAAATGAGCACAGCGGATCTGGATCTGGAGTCCTGCGCGCTACTGACCGGCGATACCGTCGAAACTGCCGCCAACGACTCCACAGCCACCGCCTGCTCCAGCAACGCCCCCGCCACTGTCAGGACACGCACTAAGCAGCGCATCAGCTTAAATTCGAAACGTCGACGCAGCCGCATGTCCCGACGCGCAAATCTCATTGGCATCTGTGGCGTTAGCAGTTTGTGCATACTGCTGCTGATTGCCACCACACAGCACCGCCCGCTGACCTCACCCTTCAGCACTGGCAGCAGCAGCGGCGGCGCCAGCAGCAGCAGCAGCAGCAGCGCTGCTCTCGCCTCGAATCTGCTGCCACGGAATGGCCTCGGTGGCGGCTACTACGAGCGCCAGCAGCAGCCGTCACAAACTGCCGCCACAATTTACAATATGACAGCGACCATAGTGGATGTCCTGGCGGCGCAGCGTGCGCGCATTCTCAATGAGATGGAGAACTTTGAGTATCCGCGCGGCGGCGCCGAGAAGCTAAACGATATGACGCCCGAGACCCAGGGCACGCCCGTGCGCAGCATTGTCGTGACCAGTTGGCGTTCGGGCTCCACATTCTTGGGTGATATACTGAATGCCATGCCCGGCAATTATTATCACTATGAGCCGCTGTTGGATTTTGGCATTAAGCAGGTGCGTGATCCCGAGGATCAACAGTTGGCCGTGCAAAATCTAAAAAATCTGCTCAATTGTGATTATGGCGATATGTCCGACTATCTGGAATACGGCAAGACGCACACCTATCTATTTGAGCACAATCAGCGTCTGTGGGAAGTCTGTCGCGAATATCCGCGTTTCTGTTGGCGTCCCGCCTTTTTGACGCCCTTCTGCCGCCTGTTCCCCATACAGAGCATGAAGACGGTGCGACTGCGTCTAGCTCAGGCCGAACAGCTGCTGCAGGATCAAAGGTGAGTCAGAAAATTGATTGCAATTGATTTTTTGTAGTTAACTAGTTAGTTAATACTAAATTTAGGAGATCCCATTCAAGCTACAAGAAAAACTCAAAATAAGTATTTATGTGGGGAACAAATAAGCTTCAAAAGTATATATAAAGGGGCATGGATATGGTTCAAACTTTTTATTATGGCTTACAGGCATTTAAATTGTGTGTTCCTTCGAACATTTTTTTGTATAGAATCATTCTGGTATAGAAATATACTGATATAGTACCTTCGATAGGTTAATCTTACCACTACACAAAAACTTTTTGATTATTCTTATTCCCATAGATAATTTATTTTGTTAAGTAAAACTATATAGTCGATTTATGCATATTTACTATTAGCTCAGTTACCAAATTATTTAAATGAGATCATTATTCCAGATTATATTAAATTATTTGTTATGGAAATTAAATACTATATATTTTTTATTGACACGTATTAATTTAAATATATAATAATATATTCTGGAAATTACCATATGCACGGGCTAAATATTTGTTTATTACAATTTTCTAGTTTAGCTAAACGCAGCTGGTCACACAGTATTTGTAGTTTGCTGAAAACAATTTATTTGAATTAAATACAGAGAGCGGCAGAGAGAGATATAAGGATAGAGCGAGAGAGAGAGAGAGAGAGGCAGAGCTTTAATCTGATCGCGCACAAAGAAAGTGAAAGGCGATGCCGCATGCGCAAATTGTGCCCTCCCTCTCTTTGACACGCGTCTTTGTCTTTGTCGCTTTTGCGGTTTCTCTCTATGCCTTCCCTCTCTTTCTTCCAAATTCAACTGGTTCGCCGGTTTATTGCTTGTTTTTCCCTCCATCTGCCTTATCTCTATTTGAATGTGGTTTGACTTTAGTGTTGAAACGAGTACACCAAAAATTAGTTGTGTCGAAAATAAGTATTTCTGATTATTTTATTTAGATAGACTATACTTATATTTGCTTATATAAAAGTTAATAAACGATTGTCTTGTCTTTATTATCTATATAAAACATTTGCTTATTATAGTAGTTGGTCATGGAAGTATATAACATCTATCGCAATCAATATTTTGCCTATCAATTTTATGGGCTTGTTTACATATACATATGTACTGCAGTTGAGTTAATTAGTTTCTAAGGGGAAACACTTAAAATATGGCTACTTGGATTTTCCAATCGTTTTTTGGAAAACCTTTAAGCATACAACCCAATTAGTAATTAGCGGGAATTTCGTCTGCATTATGTAGTATTATTTTCAAAGTTCTACAGATAACAACTTGAGTTATTTCCGTGCTTCATTTTCGATAAATAAAAACTGATTAATTGTGCTTATCTTGTATTTAATAGGTCAAGAAATTACTTCTAACCGATATTTAAAAACAGACTTTCACTAATTGCTAATTGAAATTGAATGTGATACAGAAATCAATCATAAACAAGTAAGAGGTTCTAGTCGGGAGCTCCCAACTAGGGGATACTCTGAACCCTTTTCTTCCAACATCAAATGCACATATATATATTCTATTTTAGAAGCTATATGTCAAGTTTGGTGACTCTAGCTCTTATTATTTACCAAATTTGCCCAAAAAACAGGATATCGATATCGATTTTTATCGATTGCTTGGAAACGGAGTAAGTTATCGATTATCGGAAATAAACTCGATCTGCATAGGCACTTCCTAGTGCCTATGCTCCTGCACCTACATCTAAAATTTCAGTCCTAGCTCTTATAGGTTCTGAGATCCTTGCGTTTATACATACGGACGGACGGACGGACGGACGGACAGACAGACGGAAATGGCTAGATCGACTCGGCTATTGATGCTGATCAAGAATATACACCTTATGGGGTCGGAGATGCTTCCTTCTGCCTGTTACATACATTTCGATTTCGCACAAATACAATATACCCTTATACCCATTTTTAATGGGTTCAGGGTATAAAAAGTCCAATTATGATTGCTGTGGAATTTCTGAATGGACATTCTAATCTAATCTTTGTGGGACTAGGAAAATTTCCATATAAATCAAATAGAAAAGAACTTTTAATGCCAAAAACATGATAATTTATGGCAGGTGATTTATGTTTAATGATAGCAAGAAACTATTGCTAAAAATTATTCCACACTATCAGTTAAAAATGTATTTACGTAAATCTCCTTTATGACTTGAACAATGCATATATTCTGTTTGATCAAGTGGCAAATCCTTTGACCAGATAATCTAAGGAAAATTCGCCGCTGCGCGTATTCGATTTGACCGCAAACAACGTCTCGTTTACATAATTTTCCATTTAAAATCGAAGGCAAACAAAAACAATGAACAAAATCAATAAACTTTTGTAGTTTCGTGTGTGTACATTGGGAGATTCTCGGCAAACAAAACCTCGAGGGGAGTGCAAACAGAAACCGAAAACGTATTTGATTGATATGCTTTCTATTTTTCGACAATTCGATGGTATATTGTGGTCTCAGTTACAACACATTGAGATGAATCCAATGGCATTGCGGTTATGTTATTGTTGTTAAAGGAATACCAAAAGGAATTCAATTTCGACAAGATGTGCTGACATGTTGCGAGTTGGGTTTAGACTCAATGCGAATTGATTGACGTGACTGAAGATTCAAAATAAATACTTATAAATATCCATTAACTATCTAACGTGGAGCTGGGCGTGTCTCATCTTTTTTCTGCTGACAAAATTTAATAAATAATAAATCAACATTTTAAATGGGCTACGAAAGTTAAATATATAAATGATGTTAATCTCTGAATAAAAGAAATAAATTGAAGTATATGCTTAAAGCTAAGGAAAACAATAATTTATAACTTTTGATTCAATAGGTAAAAGTTACATTTTTTCAGTTAAACTATGAAATAAAAAAGTAAAAAATTAATATAATACTTTTAATCCATAATAACGGAGTACACATGCAGTTTAGAGTTCATATTTAAAATATGTAAAATCTGTGCCATATGAGAACCTTTGAGCTCAATAAGAGTCGCAGATGCTATTTTATTCCCGTTAAATGCATATTCCCAACCTAGTTTACGCAATTGTAGTTCGTGTTGTGTTAGAAAAATCTGATTTGCAAACTGTCGGATTTACTTAGCTGTTACATCATGTGACTGGGCCAGGTGGCGTGTCCTCGCCTCTCTGGGGCACTTGAACATTTCACACTGCATGTGGGAAAAGGCAATTAGCATACCGAATCATTATGGCCAAGTCTTTTTGCAGTTCATAGCCGGAAGCTTGGCAATTCTCCTAAGTAAATTAGCTGGGCTACAAGACTTATTTTATTTTTGTTGCCCAGGCATTTCTCTTTGGCACTCGCCACTTGCGCTAAGTACTCAGGTTTCTTGTTATGCCCTTACTCTGGCGGCATATCATAAGATCTTTGACGTACATTATATAACGCAAATATAAATGACAAAATTCGGACATTTAAAATGTTAAAAATTGAAGTGATATCTAAAATACATTATTTCATCTAAAATAAACTCCTCACATTAATAAAGGTTCAGTTTTCTGTCGCAAATTTGAATAATTTGGTTTTCATTTTTTCCGATTTAATTTTTGAGTTCAGTTCGTTCTTGACTTATTTTACCACTTACCTACATTTCAAGTTTCATTCCAATCGGGGTTTAATTTCGTTAAACTTCACGTTCATTCAAACTTAAAGGGTATTCCGACATCCAAGTTTTGTTTTGAACATTTCTTATTCTTCTCTTTGCTTTGTTGCAGTAACATTTTTCACACTCTATTAACGCAGTGTAGTTGAACGGCCTGAAGCACCCGTTTGCTGTCCAGTGAAATGCATCAAAATTCCGGAAACGTAGTCCAAGCGCTTAGATTTATGTTGCCCCCCCTCCTTATTGCCCCTCCCTCCTCCTCCTGGTTTCTCGCCCAATGTGGGTCAGTGTGAGGCGTTGTTTTGGGTGACTCACTAAGCGGTCGGTAACTTGGCCAACTTGGTTTCTAATTGTCGGTTGGGTCGGTCTCTCTGGGTGCGCCCAGCACAAGGGCCCTGGCTTCTAATCATTAATTGCGTATACGCCGCAATGCACAGGCCTTTTAAATAAATGTGCTTAATAGGCATTTTATTTTTATACATCGCTTTTATGTGATTTTTCTTGCTGCTAGGGGCTGTGTAAGGTCAGATTGATTAAAGTGGGTTAGTCAATGGTTGATCGATAAAAAGATTAGTTAGTTGATGAGATTTGATGATTATCCTATTATATTGTATCTTAATATAATTTAGTTTCTATTATTTTGGCACAAAAAGCATCTAGTCAAGGTTTAAAGGAGACTTTAGCCTAAGCTTAGATAGCTAAGACCTAAAAATGTTTCCATAATATTTTTGTTACCGTCTTTTATTAAGATTTATTCTGTTATTCTATTCTCTGCTGTCTATTAATACATACATTTAATAATTTCGATGTAGTATGTATATTAATTTGTGTCGTTTTGCATTTTTAAAAGTTATTATTCCCTCTATATTTTATATAGGGTATGTTATTGTAAGTTTAGTGTACTTATTTTCCCTTCTATCTGCACATTCTAATTTGAGCACATGGCTTAGTTTTAATTTTTCATTTTATTTAATATATTTTTCGTGGCTGTAAACTTTGAGCCGCTTTGGCGTAAAGTAGATAAAATGTTGCGAAAATTGAAAGCGCCCACAGTTTTGGCCCAAACGAGCCTCAGTTCCGGCAGCAGCTGCAGCTGTGGCAGCTAAAAGCCAAAAACCGCAACCGCAAAGAGTTTTTGGCTTAAGTCGCTCTTTAGTTGGCTTATAATGAGAAAAGTGGCCATTAGCTGAAAAAAAAAGTTTCGTAAGCTGCGTTTTAAAGCGGGCCAGTAAGACAGATAAGCAGCAAGACAGACGGATAAGCAGAGAGACAGTCAGATAACAATAAGAGAAGAGTTTATGCTGCAGAGACCCCATTCAGCAAAGTTTTGAGTTTTGACCACAAAACGAA